TGTATAAATCACGGTAATACCTTGATTTATTTTACATAAAATAATAAAGATTCATTTTACAGAAATGTTTATAGCATGTCAATAATAAAGATTGATAAAGTGATGATGAGGAAGTTAGTCTGAGTTGGTCTCCAGACTCCAGCCTCCGCATATGTATCCCTAAAAATCAACACATGAATTAGAAGATGTATGTTGTTTATGTGAATCGTACTTTTTAAGATCTTTTCAACTTAGGGTTTACTTTACTAGAGATTTAACATTTTAGTTAGTATGAAAAACGAGTGTGCATGCAATATAAAACACCGAGAGACAATTATCATGAGTTTAGGCAGATATTGGTTGTTTTGAATCCTACTTTTTGTGCTCATATCATTGTGAGATTGAATTAAGATCGACTTATAACGATGACTTGAGCAAATGGTCCGTCCAAGTATCCTATCTTTTAGAAAACAGATATTGTTCCTCAAAAAGAAAAAGAAAAGATATAGTTAGAGGATAACTGTAATGGATAATTGCTTATTGGTATACCAAACGATTAGATCTAATATAACTCGAGCTATTTATCCTTACGTCATGACTCAATACTAGAGTCCGTCAGGACCATTGAATTTGGAGGTCCGGTTTCAAAAAGCAAATTGAGCCCCCTGATACAAGAAAAGATACAAAATTTAACAATGAAATACAAATAAAATAGATAGTTTAGTGAAATGTAAGTTTATAATGTTTATAGTGCGTATTAGAAAATCTAAAAGTTACACCTTTTGAAATCTCAAATAATACTTAACATCTAGAAAATCAATCTATAACTACTAGTTCTCAAGTAAATATAATTGTTATGAACCCGATTTTAAAGAATTCATAATCGCTCGTCCTCTAAATTACTTTATTATGCATCTCAAGTTTTTTTCTAATACTCCTCAAGTTATGTACCAATCAAGTTTTACTTTATTACGTACCAATCCCGTGTTTTTTTAATGTGACCCCAATACATGTATATACACCCACTGTGCATATAAAATTTTATCAGTACTATACACAAATGTTGGTATATGCACTCCGTATCTTTGAAAAAAGTGGAGTCAAAATTCAAAAATAGTGAGATCTTACATTTTACTCATTAATAAGAACATCTTTAATTTAATTAAAAGTCTAGGTTTGATTTGGTTTGAATTATAATGGTTTGGTAGATGTCTGTTTTACATTTTATGTGACTTATTATTATTATTATAATTATTAAACTTTGATATGATCTGATTTAGTGTGGAACTTAAATCAATCTAATAAAAACACTCTGTTAAATAAAAATTAGGAATTTTTAAACTTATAAAGATTTCAAATTTGGATTAGGAATATAATGAAAGCATATTTAAACTCTAGTTGTAAAAATAAAGAAACAACCAATCATATTTTCTTTTTTGGCTATATAGCCTAAACATATTTACTTGTGAAAATATATATACAGATAGATATACATACATACACGTGTGTGAGGGAGATACTAATTTTCATCCTTATCAAATAAGGTAAGTTACCTGATCACAAGTATTATTTTTAAGAGATTATATATATATTTGATAATCTAATAGTATTAATTTCGTTTTTAATTTCAACAATATGATGGTCATAGTTTTCATCACTATATTAATAAATAAAAAAGAATTGTATGAAGATGCAGAAAAATACAAAGTATTAACACATTTTTATCATTATCTCAACATTGAGTTTAGAAAAATATTATATTATATTTTAGAAAATGGGACTGGATATTTTAATCACATAAATTTGAAGACAAAATTAATTGCAATTTTGCTGATTTATCTATAAAGTGGGCAAAAAAAAGGATACTTCATCTCTTCGATAGAATGTACAGAGTAGTACGTAGTAAAAAATAAAAAGTATATAAAAATAATTACATGATTGTTACTGTGTGATCCAATACTTAAAATTTGATTATTAATTGTTGTGGTTCCAATTACTAAAGTTAATATTTCTCAAATACGTAAAAGATTTTGAAAAGTTACCAAATTAAATAGGGAAAGTTTCCGAAATAGGACTAAAAAAGTTCCCAAATTCCAAAATAGGGCTATCATGTTTTTATTCCCAAAATAGGAGTAATTATTACTCAGTTTGAAAAATGCTGTCATGTTTGAAGTCTGGTACTGTCAAAACATAATCCGGAGTACGTAGTAATAAGTCCCATTTTAGGAATAAAAACATGACAGGCATATTTTTAAATTTTCACTTTTTTGCTCCTATTCCGGGTAATATTCTCAAATCTCAAATAAATAAGGTGGATTTCTACGGTCTTTTATTTTTCATATTAATATGCAATCAAAAATAGAATCTAATATAAATAAAAGGTACAAAAATATTGATTATTTTAAAATTTAATGAGCTAATAGGAATGTAATACGTATAAGAGGAATCTCTTATACGTAAAAGGAATCTATCAAAAGCATTTTACATTTATGAACGTATATATATTTTTTCTATATTAATTTTAATAGGAATCCAATAAAATCTTTTATATAATGACGTGGCAGGATTATGTGGCGCTTTGTATGCTCTTGAAAAGTTCCTCTTTTATATATATATATTGATTTGTTGATAGGCGTGAACACATGTCAGTCCATGCTAGACCGGTTACCCGTTAAGGCCTTGTTTGTTTGGATCAAGCCTAACATGTTTGGTGGCTTAGCATGACTTGAGGCCTGTTTGTCGAACTTGTTAACCAAAACAAAAATATAAAAAATTCAAATCAGGTCCGAAAAGTTAAAAAAGTGACACACTTTTATACACATTATAAAGTTTATCACAAAAATCTAATTACAACATGATAATACACTAGTTCTATAGCTTACTAAGGTCGACTCTCCTTTCATCTCAAAGAATATGTTTTCCACCTTTAATTTTCTTTCCTTACGGTCGAGTCAAATGTCTCATTTCCGTTCTTTCAAATAATTATTCATGTTCTGCCTGTCCTGTGACAATGCAGTACCCACTCTTGTTTTTTATGTGGTTCATTCGATTGTTGAGAAATATAGGGATAAACACTCATGATTCGTGATTTGTCGTGACAGTTGTGGATGCACTTTACAATTTTAATGGCTTTAATAACCTAATAACACATTATATAATATTTATAAATATATTCTAATAAATATTATGCACACATAAATGTACTTCTTTAGGCTCATTTTTTATTATACTCAAATATAACACACACTTACGTAAACATGGACCCTGCCCAGGTCCAGGCTGGTTCAATTCCAGTCCTGGGAGGAATTAATTAGGTTAAGCTTGGGCCCAACCCGTGTATTTAGGGTCCCGGTTTGATTCCGGGTACCCGACCAATCCCGATCTTGGTCCCAGACAGGAGCCTTTTTAAAAATTATTGTTTTTAAAAAATATCAAATTTTTACCGTTGGGACCGAAATCGGGCACGGGTACCGTATACCGTATACTCATATTTTAATGTTGTCGAAGTCTGATAAAATTAATGTTGTCGCATCAAATTTTTCTGTAAATAAGTTTCACTCTGAAATCATATTTTTCAAAGATTACAACAGTTACTTCTATTTAAGGGAGAAAATTATATTGTTTTTTAAGTTATACTACGTATTATACTTTGAAATTTGACATTATTTTTAGCTCTTATAATAGTTTTTTATGTACTCTATGTATTTCTACCATCAAACAAGACTACATATACTAGAGAGTTGCGGCCGTGTCCCTCTTATAATAGTTTTTGATGTACTCTATGTATTTCTACCATCAAACAAGACTACATACACTAGAGAGTTGCGGTCGTGTCCCTCTGCGTGGGGTTTTGTTTTCCCGCCGATCGCCGTTAATCGTGTGTGTGTTTTTTCTCTTCTTGTTCTTCGAAGATTATCAGCGCAGGGAAGAGTGAGATATACAAGCAAGAAGTAGTTGGGTCTTCATGGATTTCAAGGAGACAACGTGCCTCAAAGCTTTCTACGTTAGTCCAATGGAAGAGTTAGTGAATCAAGGCCACAATTTGGAGATTATCACGGGCGAAGACATATTAGGAGGCGGCACGGGTGACGAGCAGACAGAGAGCGGTAAAGGGCTAAACAAGGGAGAAGACAGATCCATGGCTCGCCCCCCTCCTGAACCGCCTCCTTGGAGCGATAAAGATGTCAGGGCTTGGAAGATGATGTTTCAAGAAAACTGGCACGAAGGAGTTTGATTTTATCATTTATTTTATTTCTTATGGTTTTATTTTCGCGTTATATTTGTTTACGTTTCTCTGTTTTTTGTTGATGTCTTTAATTTTAGGTCTACAATAATGATTGACAATTCTGCTAGGTATTATGTCGTTGGAAGGATTTATATGACCAGTGATTGTTGTGTCACACCCGTTTGGTGGTTAGTGATTCGTATTGCTCTTTCAGGGGTGATCGTTTCCAAGTCTAACCATTGAGTTGGTGATGATAGTTGGTTAAAAATATTTGTCAGTATTGATCTTTTGGAATTTGATGTAACGATCTGAATCCGATAGTAACATGAACAGTTTTTCCTTCAAAAAACAAGACTACGGGGGGTGTCCTCAATATGGATTTTAATGGAGTTTAGAATTCCATTAAAATCCAGGTATCCTCAATATGGATTTCCATAAAATCTATTAAAATACAGTTATGCACAAACACTCCATGGATTTTACTTATTATTGATTTTAATGGATTTTAAAAGACTTTGATGGATTTCCAAGCCAAAATATTGAACAACCCAATCCACCAACAATCTCCCTAACACCCCTTGGATTTCAAATCCATTATTTATAAAAGAGAAATGCTAGAGGTACACACTTTGTGTACACATTTTGTGTACACTCGTCTGTCTCTTAAGAAAATTTTGTCTGTCACAGACAACTCATATATGAATTGTCTGTGACAGACAAAATTTTTTTAAGAGACAGACGAGTGTACACAAAGTGTGTAGACAAAGTGTGTACCTCAAGCATTTTTGTTTATAAAATACTGCCCACACGTTTCACTACCTTTGTCAGTTCGATCGATACCTCCATCATCTTCCCTCCTGCATCAGACAGAAGCTTCTTCCATCTTCCAACCCAGAGCTTTTCAAGGTATGCATCTTCCATCTGTCATCAGACCACGTTTCAGTACCCTTGTCAGTTCGAGTTTTTTTTATTGATTTGCATCAAAAGGTTCATTTCACATCTAAACGTTCGCATTGTATTCTAGTAATAAGTATTCGAGTTTTTTTATTGATATGCATCAAAAGGTTCGTTTCACAACTCCAACAACTTTCTTCTACATCCCTGAGTTGGATTCTTTTGTTTGTTTGTTTTTTTTCCAACAAATCTGCATAGTCCTCTTCTCTTGGATACCTCTTACTCCACTGATTCTTTTAAAATTTGATTTCTCCCTGCAGCAGGTAAATATTTATTTCTTTCTCCTGTGATTATGTGTTCCTTTGATTCTTTCTCCCTGCATAAAGGTTCTTCTTTTAAACGTGTTAGGGAAAAGGTGCAAATAGGCTCATGTACTAACAAAAAAAGATCAAATAAGTCCTTATTTAGGAGGCTCTGTCTGGCCGTCGTCATTTGGGGTGGTTCCCGGTTGAATTTTTTGATGAATTTTTTTGAGCATCTTATTCATCAAGTCTAGTTTACTCATACCAAATTTCAGCTAAAACTTCAATCGGGAAGGCATTCAAATGAATTCTTGAAGATAACTGTGCTTCTAACTGCGCATTTATTTTCAACAATTCATTTGAATGCCTTCCAGATTGAAGTTTTAGCTGAAATTTGGTATGAGTAAACTAGACTTAATGAATAAGATGCTCAAAAAATTTCATCAAAAAATTCCACCAGGAACCACTTCAAATGACGACGTCCAGACAGAGTCTCCTAGATAAGGGCTTATTTAACCTTTTTTTTTGTTAGTACATGAGCCTATTTGCACCTTTTCCCAACGTGTTATTGACATGGTATTCCATTAGCTTCTTTCACCTGACCTTTTGCCTGTGTAGCTTCTTTGATGGATAAAAGTATAAAACCTTGATTATGTTAATCATCATAATCATAAAACATGACTTGAGCATGACTTGATTATCTTTTAGGGAAAACCTCGTATGATGGGTATGTTTGGATTATGGGAAACGTAGGGGAAAGGGAGAAAATGGTGCGAGAATGTATAAATGTCAATTTATGGTTAATTATTCCTGATGAATTTTGAAAAAATGCAATAAAAAAACGATTTTTTTAATCAAAATATTCATACGACTTTTTTGACAGCGGTTTGCGGTGGCTGAGCGGGTGGGGGCTGGGGATAAGGACATCGGTTTGCACCGGCTTGTTTTTCAAATCTATTAAAATCCATTGAAATCCATATAATTCTATAAAATAGAATTCCGTACAATTCCATAGGAGTCCCAGGGATAAGTTCACACTTTCCTTTTTTGGCAGTCCCAACAAGAAGTTCTCATTTCCCTAAATGGAAAGTTATTCTACATCCAAACAGTGTCAAACAGTGTCGAAACAGTGTCATCGAAACAATGCCAAACAGTAAAATTTATCCCCTAGGTAACTTTTAGATCGATTTTGAAACTCTTAGATCGATTTGGTCCATGAAATCATACGTACATACGGAGTATTTTTTTAAATTGGTCCATTTATATATCTTGATAAAACCCCGAGTAGTCTGTAGTCCCCCGTATCTTCATCATCTTCACCCTCCATCTCAGATCTTAGCCGCTCTCGTTCGGTTGTGATGGCGGCGGCCATGAGAAATGCGCTGCTAAAGCACCTGAGACTGGAAGTCGTTGCTCGACGAAGCTCAACCCCTAACCCTAGAGGCCCATTGGCTCGACTGATTGGACAGAGCCGTCATTTCTGCGAGCTAGCCAGAGGCTCCTTCCTTGATAAATCCGAAGTCACTGACCGTGTCATCACCGTCGTCAAGAACTTTCAGAAAGTCGATCCGGCAAAGGTACTCCACTTGTTCTTTTTCGCATTTCACTCCCCTCTAATTCTTTCTTCGCCTTTAAATCCTCGACGTCAAATTCTCTAATGATTGACGATTTCTTCGAAGAGTATGTGACTATGTGACTATGTGAGGCAGGGCCGCAAGGCCCATGGAATACTTTTCTGTTGTTATTTTGTGTAAGACTCCGGATTTATACGTAGTATGTATGGCCAGATTAATTTTACTGGGAGAATAAAAAGGGTCATTTTTCCCGAATAATATGTTTTTTAACAGTTTTATTACTGTTGATTTTACGCACAGTTCGTTGTTTAAGGCGGTGAATGATGAATAAAATATTGTGTAAGTAGTGCTTACTAAAAAGGTAGACATCAAACTATGCTGTATGCCTGTATGGATTCATCAAACAGAACTATGGCCCAGAATGATTTGTCATGTGATAATTGGATATGTTGTATGCTAATTTGCGAAGCTTGCTTGTTATGTGAAGAGGATACTTTCTTGGCTTTGTGTCTCGCAAATGCCAAAAACACAATGAGTTCCTTCATTTGTTTTTCATAGCTTTTATGGGATACTGATGTGACGCGCCTTGGGTAATGATCAAGACATACTGCGATTTTGCAAAACTGATTATGTTGTGTTATGTTTTTAAAATTAAATGAAGGCTCCCTTTGGTAGACAAAACTGATTTAGTCTGCTTATTTCGCTAAAATGTGTTGCCAAGCAATTCTCCTTTCTGAATTCAGCAGATTCAGCATATCAAATCTAGTTATTCACATTGAAAAGTACGGTTTGGGAAGGGTGGTACGCATACCTTATCTCTATCACTAGTAGTTTTCTGTGTCTCTGTGAAGACCCCCAGTTAAAGGAAAAACCTGTATGTTTTTTAAAAACGTGCAAATTATGGTAAGTCATAGTAAAAGTTTTGAAGCTAAAGATGTATAGTAGTAATAATGCCATTTCAGAGATGAAATGGAGTAGTAGGAACTGGTAACAGTGCCATTTCAGCCCAGATAAGCCTTACGAAATAAAGCTGAAAGTTGTGAAATAATTTATTTTTGAATGACCTGTATTTATTTTTCTCGAAATGCAAATTACATGAACTTTCTTGATTATGATGATATGAATTATGGAAACTGTAATAGAACATAAAATGTTGCCTCATTTTATAGGAGCTCGATAGTACATAACATGTTGACATTTATTAGGACAGTGTATACTGCAAGCCTAGCCATGTAAACATACATTCTTAGTTGAGTCAAAATGGGGCGTGCTTGTTCTTGTAAGGACACACTTTTGGTTCATTGTATTATTGTATATAATCTGAATTATTTCAGTCATAAGCTTGGCTTTTAGTAAGTACTGTATTTGTTTTGCAATGAATAAATTGTATACTGCCTTATTGAGCATTCATCATTGAGCTATTATGGCATATATCTTGTATGATTGTATCAATTATCAAATATATTCAGTGGGCTGGACTGGGGTGGGTTAATTAACTGTATCTTAATCTCTGATGCTCCCCCCGGTATTTATGCTGTGTTTGGATTCTAGAAAATGTTTGGGAAATAATGTTAAGGGAAGTAATTTTTTTATGTTTGGTTTTGTGTGGAAATGCCAAGGAAAGTATAAAAATCTTTAAAATTTAATATATTGAAATATCTTAGTTCTTTTGTAATAGAAATAAATACTACGTAGTATGTATGAAAATTGAGTTTGGATAAATATCTAAAATAAATGAATTGTGTTTGTCTTTTATTTTCCCCAAAAATTTCTCTCCACCCAATTGTATTCTTATTTTTCTTTCATACTTCTTTTCCCTAGTATTTTCTGTGTAACAAACACTCCCTCATCGATAATGGAAAAATCTGTGTTTTAATAAAGTCTTGTCTATAATTACACTGTCTGCAGGTTACCCCAAATGCACATTTCCAAAATGATCTTGGTTTAGATAGTTTAGACACCGTGGAAGTTGTTATGGCCCTCGAAGAAGAGTTCGGGTTTGAAATACCAGACAACGAGGCAGACAAGATCAACACAATCAGTCTTGCTGTGGACTTTATTGCCTCACACCCACAGGCAAAATAATGCAGAGAGGAATTGATTCCCCTTCATTTTTTTTATATATGTAGCAGTTTGCATATCAGTTCATGGCAACGCTCTAAATGGACCTAAACTCCAAGGATGAGTTTGAATTCAGTTTTTTACTTTGTATTGATGAATTCCATGAGGGCGGGATGGCATTGGGGTCCTTTTGAACTTTTCTGGAACATTAATAATTATTATTGTGAATTTGGATGTATGGGTACTCAAGAATTTAGGGTGACGCTGTCTGGTTGTAGGCCAACCTGTTCTGGTCCTCCATTGGAGGAATCAGTGAAGAAGCGGGTATTTACCGGTCTGTGTGGACCAACCCTCTGGTTTTTGACATGCTGTTAATTTTTGGCAGTGCTGTGTTAGGGACGGGAACTGGCTGGTCTGGTCCTAATGTAGCATGCATGCTGTGTTAGGGACGGGAACTGGCTGGTCTGGTCCTAATGTAGCATGCATGCTGTGTTAGGGACGGGAACTAGCTGGTCTGGTCCTAATGTAGCATGCATACACGGGAACTGGCTGGTCTGGTCATAATTTGCTGTGTTTTTCAACACATATTTTTGTAATAAAACATATTAAGGCTGTGTCCCAATTTTGTTCTGAGCCGGTCTAGGGGACTGTCTCAGTCGTGGAAGAAAGGAAAACTGGACAGCTCACGTCTAGAATCTAGATTGTGTCAAATACCCACTTCTACTCAACATGGAACCATGGTACTTATTTTGACGATGCATTGCATGGATAACGAATTGTTCTAAATCAGATGCAAAACTCTGAAATGGTAATAAAACCGAAAGTATTGTGGTTTGTATTGCCAAGTTTCCCGATTTGTCCGTGTAGTAAATTTAGTAATAGAGCATGGCCCTCGGTGCTTGGAAATTTTTCTAGAAGACAGAAAAACGAGTAAATGCACATACACCTACCATCCCTTCACAAGTTTCTAATGAAATATAGTGTGCACTGTGCAAATTACAGGTATGGAGACGTGTGATGTGAATCCATATGGATAAACAAGTACATAAAATATTCATTAGTTTCAATGTGAAAGATACTAGAGAAATGGTTCCAAATAGGATTAAAAAAAAATACTTAATGTATCTAAATAGGACTTAAATGATTTTTATACCTAAATAGGACCATAATTTTCCACATTTCCGGATTTATCCGTAATCAATTACTCCGTATTTTCTTTCTCGATCTTCTCTGTTGACAAACGCAACCAAACTTCCGTTTCATACCATATGTGACCCCGGTATGAAGCAGCTCCTTCGCGGAACAACGAAGGCGGGGCGTGGAAGCCGAAAGGGAATATCCGAGCTGAAGAAGAAGAGACGATGGACAGAAGATGAAGTGTCATTGACTCCGGCGAAGATGTTGCAGATCCACTCTTCTTCCTCCAAATACAGAGCTTCAGGAAATTAGGTATTCATTGATCCTCTTCAACGAACATCCTCTCAGCATCTGCGCTCTTCGTCTTCAGCGGCTTAAGAAAAATCCCAACCTTTTTCCCCTTCTTTTGCTATGCTGATTGCCAACTGTGTAACCTGCTGTCTCAAGTTTCCCAACTCTGGCGTTTGGTTTGGTTTCTGAATAAAAGAGTTCTCATGTGAGCCGATGTGTGGGATTTGGGGTTCAAATTAAACTGATTAGGTTATATTTTTATTTTTTAATTACTTTCCTTCTTTCATTTGTAATTTTGTGTTCCAAATTACAATTGTGTTGGCTGGAGTTATGTAGGATTCCAGGGATTCAAATTATCCAACATACACAAATATAATTGAAGTGGCGGTGATTATATTTTCAAATTTACTCTGTTTGTTTCTGTCATTGTATGTTTAAGCTTTCCAAAGTAGTTTACGCGAGCATTTGAGCTTGTGATGATGTTTGCACTTCTTTAGTTTATAGGCTTTGCCACTCGTTTTCTTTGCAATGGCATTGTCATTGTTTTTAAAATTGTGGCATTTGTTTTAAAATGGCATTATTTTTTAACTTTGTGATATGTTCTACTAACATTATTGGATTATCTATATAGGGACTATTATTTTTATTGCACGTTTTCAGGCAATGACATTGCAAATTTTTACTTTATAATAACAATGTATTGTGACATTATATCAATATTAAACAATGACATTATATTGCAATGTCATGTAGTGACATTACATTGTCAATATTATGTTACTATGTGACAATGACATGGTTTTAATATTTTTCAATGTCACAATATCTCAATGTCACCAATGAAAAACATCACTTCTTGACCATGTCAAAATGTTAATGTTGTAATGTCATACATAGTATAATAATATCATAATGTTATTACACAATATTACAATGTATCAACTAATACGGTGTCACTTCTTGACAATTAGACAATGGTTATATGACAATGTCATAATTTCACGCCATTGACATTGTTATGTCATTGCCATTATTATATGTAATGTGTACTACGTATGTAGTACAGAGTACATGACAACCAGTGGTATCGTTATGACATTTATAAGCTTATCGTTGGTATTTAATTTTTTACAATGTCATTTACAATATTGTGACATTGTTTGTTGTGATATGTTAATTTTGATAATTTTGATAATGTGACATTTTTTTTATTTCGACAATGACATTTACCCAATATTTCAATGTCACTTCTTCACAATGGCACAATATTAATATTTCAATGCAACATGATAATATTACAATGTCACCGATGAAAATAATGTCACCTCTTTACAATGTCATAATGTTATTCGCACAATGTCATATGACAATGTCACAATATTATTACACTATCATGCTATATAATATCACAATGTCATCAATGAAAATAATGACACTTGCAAATGTACGACAATGTCACAATATCATAATGTAATCGATGAAAATAATGTTACAATGTTATGACGGCTTATGGCACTGTCATACTATAAACTCATTGTAAATAACATTTTCAATTTACAAAACAATTTTCACAATCCTAAAAATAAATTTCAACTTTTTCAAAATAATATTACAATATAGATTGTATTGACAATGTCAAGATGTGCCATTGTAATTTCATGTTAGATCACTAATATAAAAAACGTAATAGAATTTGACATTGTAATTTAATTTCACTGGTCAAAATAATAAATGCAATAAAATCTAGCAAGTTAAATAAAGACAATGTCAATAATATTGACATTATTACCATTGTGACATTGTTTATAATTTTACTATAATGAAAAAAATCGTAAAAGGAATAATGAAATAGTTTGCAGAAAACTGAATCCCCTAAATGAATTCACAAAAATGTAATGAAAAGTAAAACAAAAAGACTACGGAGGCTTCTCACAACAGGTCCGTACAGAAGGTGCTTGACAAAAGGGAGAAAGAACAAAGAAGAGGAGGAAGAAAGAAGGAGAAGAGGAAGATGATGAGTGTCACTGGCGAGCCAGTGACCACGACGGAGACCACCAGCTGCTAATTCCTCTGAATCATCTGTTTTTACCTTGAAAAAAATCAATTTCTAACAGCGATGGATCTATGGGAGCAGAGGCCGAGGGGCGATCTCGAGTACTGCCGCCGACCAGTAACCGGCGGGAGCCCTTGCGGACCGTCGGCCTGGGGCGGAGATCCTGATGAATCGAGCCAAAGACCACAAGGCCTCAATTAAAATTTCCGGCGACGTGAACAAATGGTGCGTATGTTGGCAGCAATGTTTGTTGGGAGCAGCATTCGTAAGGGTGTTTTGTCATCCTTTAAAAATTAGGTCCTATTTGTGGATTAAAAAGTTTCGAGTCCCATTTACTTTCCAAGGTTTTGTTTTGGTCTTATTCAAGTCTTTCTCCCGAGATACTATTGTACAAATCGTTGGGTAGCATGTGAAATTACTCTGCATGCGAGTAATGCGACTAATGCGAGATATAAAGATATAAAAATTTACGTCATTTGGTTTTAGGTGACAACTCCAGTACCCATTTAAAAAATGAGGTACTGTACCTACCATGCATTTGATTGGTCCAAATCATTATATGCTTTTTAATTTAGATTTAAATAATTCAACTGCATCATTCTTATTGGTCCATTTGGACAAAGGTACGGTACATTTGGGGTACCGTAGAATCTACCTTGGTTTTATTGTTTATGATTTAGACAGTATGAGAATTTTGTTTAGACATTTTGGACCATACTATGTTAAGTACTTTTTACTTGGAGAGAGTGGTAATTTTTATTTTTATTTTATAAAGTGGTGCAATGATTTTGCATGTAACTTAAATTAACTATGCATCAAATCAAATAATGGAGTTTTTTTCCGTATTAATGTTAATTAATTAATTATTTACGGAAATAATGCTGGAAAAAAAGTATTTACCAAAATACTGCTGGCCCTAACCGTGGTCAGGGCAAAGTCGCCCAACGGTTGGGCGACTTATAAGTCGCCAAACGGTTTGGCGACTTATAAGTCGCCCAACCGTTGGGCGACTTTGCCCTGAAATATGTTAACAACCGAGCAGCTACTGCCAGCCAGGCACGATCGTGCCTAGAAAGTTAGGCACGATCGTGCCTATGTCCAAAAACAGCATTTCATCAGGTTTTTCGCCCCGGTTCAACCCAGACTCATCTGTTTGCTATAAATAAGGTCTCCCTTCTCCTGTTAAAGTATTACGAACTAGATACAACACATTATAATCACCTACTCTCAACAGCATAAAAAACACCTTATACACACCGCTAAAAAACTTTCAAATCATAACCGATATAACACAGTTCAATCATCATATATGCCATAACAAATAATCATATAATATTCATACTCGAACACATCAATACAACATAGAATACTTAACAAGAGAAAATACATCAAAACTTGTAAATTGTTCCTACAACATCTACTGCATAAGAAAAACTACAATACAAAAGACAAACTACAAGTTCCCATCATCAGCTTCGTCATGGAGATGTTGCTGCTCATGTCTACGCCTATGGCGTTGTCGTGGTTGAAGAACCACTCTCTCATGTTGCGTCTGGGATGATGAAGCCGCAGCTGCACTAGACGTGGATGCCATCTCCTGAGATGCGGGCATGTGTATAAGATGTCCGTAGTCTACTCGACCCAACACATCTGAGCATAACGAGGCAATGCCTGTCAGAGTCTGTCCATACATGTCCACATCAGGAATATCAGTCACAGTGGCAGTAGCCCGCTGATGTATGCGCTGCAAAGCTCGTGTCTGCAATACGAAACACAATTACAATTACATTGAAATACATACAAGTATTACATAAATAAAATAACTTACTTTACTAATTAGTAATATACTCACTGTAAGATGCAATGCCAATGAGCTAGGCTGATAATGATGAGTAGGGAGTCTGAACGAAGGAGACACAAACAACCGAGTGATGCTGTAGTACCATCCCATGTAATCTCCTGAAACTGATGGCACATATGTGGGTGTCCCAGCCACAGCTAGCTCAGCTCTCCTATCCCACATAGTCACGTATCGGACATGTCTGAGTGCCCAATCCTCTGTATGCTTCCCACGCCTATCCAGCCTATGCAGCTCTACATAAGTGTCGATAGGACGTGGAATGACCTGCTCAAACCCAAACTGTCGCATGACTCTATCAGGCAAATGAAGCTCAACAATGTCAAAACATATCAGCGGCACACGTGCTCGCCATATGTGAGTCTGCTCTCGGCCAGCTGGGGGTAACTCTGCTAACATATCAGGTCTATACGGCATCCATGTGATCTGTTTCGTAAACATACAAAATTAGTATTTATTCTACACCTATTCTAGTTACTGTTATACTACACACACCATACCTGGTCCTCTGACATCCGATCCAAATGCATCCCTGTACACACCGAGGCCAGTAGCGGATGACATGCGAGATAAACCAGCATATAGCCACCTAACCATTAATGTTACAATATCAATAATATGGATTTTATTAATGCATTTACATTCAACAAAAAGTAACACAAATACAAATGATTTAAAACATACCGACGGCCTAGAGGGTCCACGCCCCGTACATGATGTGGTCCTAGCAGACGTGGAGGCTCATCAGGCAGTGGCTGTCCATCAATGCCATGATATCCAACTATAATGGGACGGCCAATGTGGATATACTCCCATGACCAAATCTGGAGGAGTAGCAAAAATCCACCCAGCTCTGTGCTCCCTCTCTGGCACCCGCGACACAGCTGCCTGTAGAGATAAGCCAGGGTGGCACTACCCCAGCTAAACTGTGCTGCTACATCAAACCTCTCAAGCAAAGGCAAGTGTAGCACCTGAACCTCATTTCCGCTCTTGTCAGCGAAAATGGAGGCTCCCATCATCATCAATATATACGCCCGAGCATGCTGCTGGATGATCATCTCATCAGCGTCGGGAGGAAGGGCCTGGAAGTGCTCCCTCAACCATGGCATCCTAAGAGATGACCCCTGAAGGTCAGCCCTAAGAACGGGGCGGATGCCTAACAACCTCTCACACTCATCCACCCACTGTCGACAAGCAGTGCCTGTAACAGCTCTCCCATCAACCTCTAACCCGGTAAGTACAGCCACATCTCCCAATGTCACAGTGACCTCACCAACAGGGAGGTGAAATGAATGTGTCTCCTGCCTCCAACGCTCAAGTAGAGCAGTGAGGAGGTGTAACGCCCCTCTCAGGGTTAAAGGAAACGTTACACTAACTTGCTACTTTTAAAAATAACGGCCGTCTGTTTAAGAAAATAACCCTGATAAAATCTCAAATATAACTAAAATATAGCTCCAACTACAAACTCAATAAAATCTAGTTATCACCAGAAAATGTGACAACCACCTGGATCCAGGAATTTATTCACATATCAAAATCCTCAAATGAAATAATTATAATATCTTTATTATAACACTGAAATAATAAAACAAAATAATATCTAGCTAGAAGTCGCCAAGGTCGTTCCCGTTAACTCATCTTGGCACGTGTCCCACTCCCTCGTCATCTTCCTAGGCCTTGGCCTTACCCTTAATATCTGTACATGCGAAGAAAGAAAACTGATAAGCTTTACGCTTAGTAAGTCACTATGGCTCCACAAAAATATCTAGAAGTCTAGGCCAATTTATCAATAGATAAATTAGGCTATAAGCATGCACTGAACAAACAACTAACACATAACTTCTCAATTACATTCTGAGAGAGATCTCAAAAAAAAAAACATTTTCTAAAATATTTTTCTCAAAACTGCTAGAGATCTCAAAATTTATTTTTCTGAAAACATCTCTGTAAAACTCTCTGAAAGAGATCTCAAAAACTTTCTGTAAATCTTTCTGAAAGAGATCTCATAAACTTTCTATAAACTCTTTGTGGCTAATTTTAACTGTGGGCCCGTGATATGTACTCAATGGCGCCAATCCGACAGCTCAGGGGAGCGACCCACTAAACATATCGGACTATCTAAAACTAAAACTGCTAATCTGAGGGATCTAGTTCCCGAGTACATATCACTTAATCTTTCACTTTAAGTATTAGTTCTTTTTATGGTGACGTTTGACTAAACATCATTAAATCTAGAAACGAAAGTACTATCAAATCTTGACTATGCCAGATAATAAACATAACTTAATTTAGCAATAAAATAACTCATCACATAATTCACATAGTTCACATAATAGCAAATAGTCTAAAATTATCTATTAAAAATCAACCAGACTTCTTGCATTTGGTTGAACAAACATGTACAGGTGGTAGTGAACTTACCTGTCAAAAGCTGAACTCAGAATATACACATAAATGTGGCACCTTGATAACGTCTTCTGGTAAGCTCTTCTCTTAAATCTTTAGTTATAGAATAATATAAAGTAAGAATTTTTTTCCAAAGTACAGCTGAAGTATGTGAACGAATACATCAGCTACGGTTATAAACTAAACATGAAGACTATAATAGTCTATCTTTATCTTTATCCAAAATAGATCTTATTTACCAATGAAAAACTCTCTTAATCCTCATGCATTAGCCTAGAAATACGTGCATAACTTTTAAGTGTTGAAACAAAGCTCCATTTGATGAAATATAACCGCAGCAGACAAAAACAAACTAGAAAGTGGCTGCCAATTATAATAGATACCTGACTTGGAATATAAAAAGTTTCTCAACATCCGTTTGTAAAACAGCCCAATTGTAAGAAAGATTTGGATAGAGGTAGCATAAGTTGGGGCTGATACTAAAGGGCTTGATATATATTAAGAAAATTGCTAATTTCTATCACAAACTGCTGTTCAAGAATTGAAACTAATCCTCCCCAAATCCGAGTGAAATAGGCAGCAGCCTTGCACGTTAGAATCATTTTATTTATTCTTGTTTGCAAAACAATCCTACCACTTGAATGGATACAGTTCTATTATTTATGAAGAAAAAGACTGCAAAAAATGGAAGCTTCATATCAGGAAAATTTACAGTAAATCTTAAATCAAACTATTTATAGGCAGAAACGGCTAGAGTAAAAGATATATAGGAGTTTTCGTTAGGCGTTTGGAGGAGTGGGGAAAACCTTTCGAGAAGAGAAGGAAACAGTGGAGGAGGAGACGGTTACTGAAGTATTTACTCGTTGATATCTTTATACATACGTACCTTCTCTAGGGATTCAATCTTAAGCATATTTTCTGGGCTTAATAAACTGAGTTGGGCTTGTAAACATCTCTTTAAAAAAAATGATTAAAATTATTTCATCTTTCAAATTAAATTGAATAAGTTTTATAACGTTACTCATTTCTTCACTTACAAATATTAGAGCTTACCAGTCAACATTACCTGCCACAAACAAAACATGTTAAATAATATCACATTATTCACACAAGTAACTTATTTAGCTGACTAAAATAAATAATGATGATTAATATAACTAGCCCGTAAAAAAATCGGGGTGTTACAACTCCTCCCATCTTATAAAAGTTTCGTCCCCAAAACTTAGAACAACTCGGGATAACGACGTCTCATAATATCCCAATCTATACTTTTGACTTAGCTTTAGTACAACTATAATTGCTCTAATACCTTTCACAAGGTTACTTCACTTTAGTATCATGTGACTTTAATGTATATCATACTGATCATGTTTTTCTTCTTCGGGAGACATACTACTACTTACGACTACATAAAGATCTCAACAACTTCTTAATAATTGACCTTAATAAGGAAACTTGCCTAAATACTCTCATGTTTTCTGTTAACACTACAACACAAACTCACAAGCTCACAATGTAGAATATGTACATTAATTACTTTGCCCTATTTGCTTATTAAAATAAAAAAAAAGAAAGACAATAGTAAATTAGAAATATCCTCAAACTAAAACATCTTAAGGGCTTAAAATATAACTCAAGTTTGAGGTTCTGCCTGCGCAAATTCCAGGACTAAAACTCTAAGAAATCAACTATGTAGCTGACAAAAGAAAATGCTTTCACGTTACAATAAAAGAAGATTGTCCATATTTTGAACTAAAACTCCACTTAGAACAAATAGACCATGCCTCTAATGCAGTAGACAATTTCATTATCAAAATTAACATTTTCTTTCTTAAGTGTCAAGTTTCTTCCAATTTCTTAAACAACTTAAAACACTTTAATTAAGGAAATCGATCTGCCTTCAAAGAAGATAATAAATGGTGGTGTTGCTTTATAAAAGACTTTAAACATTAGAAACGGTGAGAATTAATCCAATATAGCAGAAAATTTAAATTCTGTGGAGCATAGATTTCTTATACTTCAATTGGATTTTCAAAACAGGTCTTACATTTTCCTCATGTCAAACATAATTAGAGGAAGAGGCAAAATAAAGAATCGTAAGGATAGCATACTAAAATTAATACCTGAAACCAGTTTATTATCGAGGAAAACAAACTTTCTCTAGTTAGAGATGGTAATCCAAAACTCAATCAGTAGCTTGGTTCAGTCAATTGAAAAAGGAGAAGAATTTTAAGAAGGAGAACTGAGATTTCTTTGTAGAGAAAACAGAGAGGTGGCATGCCACTAGTAGGAAAGGAAGTGTTGTTTCTCAAGAGACTTTAAACAGATGCTTTCCTTTTAAGAATTTTATTCAAAGTAAAATTAAACATCAAGGCTGGTCCAATATTACATTTTCGAGTCTACTAATATTTAATTTGACTTACCTATTATAAAAAAAATCCCCTTTTAAGGTTTGAAATAGTTTTAAACTACTAAACTCCATCATTATCTTTTTATAAACAGAAAGACCCTACTATGGTCCTATACTTCTGGAATTCAAAATTTTAACTTACTTGATTAGTATGCTGCAGTAGTCATGAAAGCTGAATCTAGCTTGTAATTAGAATTTCCTTTTATCTTAAATTTTGAGCTTGAACAAAAATAACTATTCGTCATCAGATGACCATTGGTCTCCTTAAATCCTTGAGCACAATTGATTATCTAAAGCTAATAGTCTTAATATCTTTGAAAAAACATTAAAATCTCCTGTGGATACAACTTTTTGTGAATAAATAATATTATAGGTTTTGAAACTAAATCTTCTTGGACACCCACTAAAAACTCGGCATGTGGGTTAACACTAAAATGTCAACATTAAAGGGGCTTAATTTCAAGTTTTTCATTTTTCTCAAATGAACGACATCATAAATGTTTCTGTTTAACAAAATTGACGTTGTCAATAGACATAAATGTCTGACACAAAATAATAGGTTTATTATAAACTTCCTTTACGCTGTTCACTATCGATAGTTATTCCTTCGCTGATATTCCAGAGTATTGTTCCTTCTAACATTAATCTTCTAACTATATAACTTAGGAAGTATAGTTCGTTCATAGTGATAAGTTTATACAGCCTTCAAGAATAAGGAAGTCGAGCGGTAAGTAAGACATAATTCCATAGAAACTGACAAACGATTATCCACTAAATCATCTGGTAATAAACTCTACGGGGTCGTATCTAAGATTAACTTAGACTAAACAAATAAATTTTCTGCTGTAAAATCCCAAGTCAGAATTCTTTTTTTTTTTACATAACCTCGTTATTATGCTCTTTAGATTTCAACTAGAAATAATAAACTAATCAACGAATCTACACTGATATCTTTCAAAAGAAAATCTAAAATCATAGCTAGATCCTTCTTACTGGTTTCGTATATTCTTAACAAAAGAATATACGAAATCTTTGACTGGTACTAGTTTACTCAACTGTTGGGGTTCAAGCCCTTGAATTGCTGATGATTCATAACAAAAGAATTGTTTGAGGTGCCAAACTCTTTATACTCTTTATTCTCACTCATACTTCTATTACTCAAAGAGCATACCAACTACCAGCACGAGCTCATTGGAAAACTGTCTACAAATACACGTACATAGTGGCTATAAGAGAGCTCGATGGTACCAAAGCATATTCTTTATTCTATTGAAATCTTCATATTCTAGATCATACTGTATTGACACACACTTCGTAAATCCCTATATCGCGTGCAGCAGGTTCTAAGACTCGTGATTTACCAGAAACTAGTTTAATCTAATCCTTCCACTCATCCCTACTCGATCATCCCTTCTAATCTGACTTCTAAGAACCGGATACTATTACAAAAAAAACTTTGAATAACGTATATAGACTTTATTAGCCGATCATAGTAAGAAAATTTAAGTGATGGCGCTCAATATATTTTGGTAACAAGAATGTGCAACACTGTTCAAATCTCAGTGCCAAAGGCTGAAAGTACTCGAAAATTTCTTTGCGACATTTTAAAACTCAAAATTTCTTCTGAAACATACTTTTGAGGAAATAGCTAAATACTATACTAGTACATCATAAAAAAAAACTACTTATTTGACTTTTAGTAAAATCATTGTCATTTGATAAATCATTAATCACTAAATGCATTTAATGATTAATCAACACCCTCTAATACTTATTTTATAATGAGCATTGTTTTTTTTTACAACTAATAGACAACATATAATCTCACCATTGATCATATTAAAGTGATGTCGGACCCCCGGTATCTCCTATGGAACCATCAAATTGATGAGGGGCCCTCCCAACAACTCGAGATTCCAACATGAAATACCGATGCTCAACACATTAGAAACATTCATGCAGCTTATGATACGTTTTGAAAAAACATTTGAAACTACTACTTAAGATATAACTTAAACTCAAATTCTTTTTTTTTTTTTTACCAAAAAAATAATAATAAGACAATGTAACTAGTTAGGGCATTAAAAAAATTAATAAATGAATAAAATACATAACAAACTGATTTGTATGCTTAGGGAAATTCTTCATCTCATGTAAACACAACTACATGTGATGCTTAAAAAAATACCAGGCAACTCATTATTATTATTCTTAATTAAAAAAAAATAACCCACAATACTTAGACACTGAATAAACTACAAGCTATATAAAAAGACAGCTGGAATAACACTGATTGTGACGTAATTCAATTACTCAATCATGAGAAAATAAATACTATATGACACTTTTTTTTTTTTAACTCGGATTTTTAATCATGAATACCCTCTATGTATGAGAACTACTTGCTATGAAATATCATTAGAGGCTAAAATGGAATGTTGTTTTTAGACAACAACCCTAAGTACTTCCTTAATGAAATAGAAGACCTAACTCAAGATTTATAGGCACTCGAAGAAAATTTAATCTGCATAACTCGTAATAACACAAGGTTTTACGAGTTGAGTACATACTACTTTTTCTTGACTTTTCTATCCAACTAATGCCAACAACCCTCAAACATATTTTCACATAGATAACCTTTAGCATAAATAAGTACTTACTTGGAAGATGACGAGCACGTGTACGGTGACAAATGAAGTTACGGGACAACCTGGGCTCTGATACCAAATTGTAACACCCCTCTCAGGGTTAAAGGAAACGTTACACTAACTTGCTACTTTTAAAAATAACGGCCGTCTGTTTAAGAAAATAACCCTGATAAAATCTCAAATATAACTAAAATATAGCTCCAACTACAAACTCAATAAAATCTAGTTATCACCAGAAAATGTGACAACCACCTGGATCCAGGAATTTATTCACATATCAAAATCCTCAAATGAAATAATTATAATATCTTTATTATAACACTGAAATAATAAAACAAAATAATATCTAGCTAGAAGTCGCCAAGGTCGTTCCCGTTAACTCATCTTGGCACGTGTCCCACTCCCTCGTCATCTTCCTAGGCCTTGGCCTTACCCTTAATATCTGTACATGCGAAGAAAGAAAACTGATAAGCTTTACGCTTAGTAAGTCACTATGGCTCCACAAAAATATCTAGAAGTCTAGGCCAATTTATCAATAGATAAATTAGGCTATAAGCATGCACTGAACAAACAACTAACACATAACTTCTCAATTACATTCTGAGAGAGATCTCAAAAAAAAAAACATTTTCTAAAATATTTTTCTCAAAACTGCTAGAGATCTCAAAATTTATTTTTCTGAAAACATCTCTGTAAAACTCTCTGAAAGAGATCTCAAAAACTTTCTGTAAATCTTTCTGAAAGAGATCTCATAAACTTTCTATAAACTCTTTGTGGCTAATTTTAACTGTGGGCCCGTGATATGTACTCAATGGCGCCAATCCGACAGCTCAGGGGAGCGACCCACTAAACATATCGGACTATCTAAAACTAAAACTGCTAATCTGAGGGATCTAGTTCCCGAGTACATATCACTTAATCTTTCACTTTAAGTATTAGTTCTTTTTATGGTGACGTTTGACTAAACATCATTAAATCTAGAAACGAAAGTACTATCAAATCTTGACTATGCCAGATAATAAACATAACTTAATTTAGCAATAAAATAACTCATCACATAATTCACATAGTTCACATAATAGCAAATAGTCTAAAATTATCTATTAAAAATCAACCAGACTTCTTGCATTTGGTTGAACAAACATGTACAGGTGGTAGTGAACTTACCTGTCAAAAGCTGAACTCAGAATATACACATAAATGTGGCACCTTGATAACGTCTTCTGGTAAGCTCTTCTCTTAAATCTTTAGTTATAGAATAATATAAAGTAAGAATTTTTTTCCAAAGTACAGCTGAAGTATGTGAACGAATACATCAGCTACGGTTATAAACTAAACATGAAGACTATAATAGTCTATCTTTATCTTTATCCAAAATAGATCTTATTTACCAATGAAAAACTCTCTTAATCCTCATGCATTAGCCTAGAAATACGTGCATAACTTTTAAGTGTTGAAACAAAGCTCCATTTGATGAAATATAACCGCAGCAGACAAAAACAAACTAGAAAGTGGCTGCCAATTATAATAGATACCTGACTTGGAATATAAAAAGTTTCTCAACATCCGTTTGTAAAACAGCCCAATTGTAAGAAAGATTTGGATAGAGGTAGCATAAGTTGGGGCTGATACTAAAGGGCTTGATATATATTAAGAAAATTGCTAATTTCTATCACAAACTGCTGTTCAAGAATTGAAACTAATCCTCCCCAAATCCGAGTGAAATAGGCAGCAGCCTTGCACGTTAGAATCATTTTATTTATTCTTGTTTGCAAAACAATCCTACCACTTGAATGGATACAGTTCTATTATTTATGAAGAAAAAGACTGCAAAAAATGGAAGCTTCATATCAGGAAAATTTACAGTAAATCTTAAATCAAACTATTTATAGGCAGAAACGGCTAGAGTAAAAGATATATAGGAGTTTTCGTTAGGCGTTTGGAGGAGTGGGGAAAACCTTTCGAGAAGAGAAGGAAACAGTGGAGGAGGAGACGGTTACTGAAGTATTTACTCGTTGATATCTTTATACATACGTACCTTCTCTAGGGATTCAATCTTAAGCATATTTTCTGGGCTTAATAAACTGAGTTGGGCTTGTAAACATCTCTTTAAAAAAAATGATTAAAATTATTTCATCTTTCAAATTAAATTGAATAAGTTTTATAACGTTACTCATTTCTTCACTTACAAATATTAGAGCTTACCAGTCAACATTACCTGCCACAAACAAAACATGTTAAATAATATCACATTATTCACACAAGTAACTTATTTAGCTGACTAAAATAAATAATGATGATTAATATAACTAGCCCGTAAAAAAATCGGGGTGTTACAGGAGGGCTCTATCTAAAGGCACAGTAGCCACTAACCTGTGCAGTGTAAAAAAACCTGCTGCACGAACATAGGCTAGGACTCTGGGGTCGACATGTAAATGGGACAAACCACGCAGATGCTCGCGGCACCTATCAACCTGCACATCCATGCCAAGCCAAACATCCTCACTCCTGTGTGAGGCCTGCAGTGTCAGGACAGAAGGATCACTCGGCCCAGGATCCGCTATCACCTCCATCCTCACTCCTGTGCTATGGCCTTTTGCTTCCCCATCCATGTTCTCCGGTAAGATACAGTATACCCATATTTTTCCTTCAACGTCTCGATGATAGTATGCACTTTAAGAGAAGGATCAGTGTGAATAATGTCAACCACATCTTTACAGATGAATTCTGATGTCAAGGCCACGTGATCTGTAGTGTCGATGTTGCCTACACAAGAAGCAGAATGAGGTCCAGAATAACGCACAATTGTGAAGGTGTCAAGGTTGCCTTTGTTCTTTGTGGCGCGTATTCTCCAGGGGCATTGACATTCTTTCTTCCTTTTGCATTGTGCCACCCATTTGTGTTTATCGGACTCTATCACCCGATAGAATTGGTTCCGTTTGATAGAATACAAGCTCACCATATTGATGACTTGTTCTTTGTTGTCAAACTGTTGACCGACCTCAAACTCACCATCGGGGGTAAACCTTTTCTCACCTGATCCACTCATCCACGCATCAGTAAAACCTTCAGGGAGATCATACATTCTAGTGAAGTGACTAGACGGGGCAGTTGGTGTCACAGTATCACCATCATCTTCATCAGATTCTGTCATGTCGTCACCATTGATGTTCTCGTCTGCATCATCATCACTTCCCTGCCCATCCACAAATGACGCACCGTTGTGCAAATACCTGCCATCCTCCTGTATAACCATGTCTAGTACAGGAACCTTTGACGACTTCCCTGCATTCACCCCTGCACTGACATCATGCCTAGATACACCAGCATTTGATGTCGATTGAGTAGCATTAGCGTCAAAGCATTCCTCAATGTATACCTCCAGCGACGACATATCCTCCATCTGAATTATGCCCCACATATTTGTTATAGCTAGCTCATCAATGAGCGGCATAAGCATGTACTTTCCCCCGTTCATGGGAAATTTCATTTTCAACCGCAATGAACGGCCGGGATGAATCATTGTCGCTGCATGTATTTTTTGAAGGATCTCGAGCATGCAAGCGCCACGAGAAACCATGACAAAGCTCGTTCTGCCACCTTCATGACATATTTGCCCACCATTCTCATAATAGTTCCCTCCCCAGTGACACACGAGTGGGAAGCTTGAGAAATCCATATTCTAATAACAACTCATTGTCCAACATTCATGAGTAGGCATCAATATACACACTTTATACACATTCACATTTTTAATAGAAATTGCTTCCAAAATTGTAATATATCATTAACTCCAAATTCACAAACAATTCACATTTCAATAACAAACTACCCAAATTTTGATATCTACATTCAATGTCTACCTTTGAATACCCAAATTTAGGTACATTCAACTCTACCCAAATGCCCAAATGTCAAAATACACACAACATTTTACAATTAATTTAAAATCAAATGTCAACATTTCATACATATCCACATTTCACAACAACTTCATTCACAATCAATTCATAATCCCAAAATTCAAAAATTTAACATTCTAAACCCTAGGTGCAAAATTAGATGAAATGGATTTGAATTTACCTAGAATAAGGAGTAAAGATTGTGTTGAAGATGAAGATGAAGATGGAGGTTTTCCGGAGTGGGGAGGCTGGAGATGGAGCTTCGCCGGAGTTGGATAGGAGCTCGGTCGTCTTCTTCCTTCGTCTGCCGTAGGTGCTGCGCTAGAGGGAATTTGGGGCTGCAGTGCGAAGTGTTCTGTTTGGGCGAGGACCCCGTTTTTACTTAAAGGGAAAGTCGCCCAACGGTTGGGCGACTTATAAGTCGCCAAACCGTTTGGCGACTTATAAGTCGCCCAACCGTTGGGCGACTTACCCCTACCATGGTTAACCCAGCAGTATTTTGGTAAATACTTTTAACCCAACCCTATTTTCGTAATTAATTAATTAATTAACATTAATTAGGAAAAAAACTCCAAATAATGCATATTATTTTAAATGTAGAATGATGCTACATTAAAATTTGCATACTATTTTTTTGTGCAAAAAAATTATGTTCAAACTAACAAACGAGCTCATGGATCTTTTCTCACTCCTCTACTCATTGCTATCTTCTCCCACTCGGCCATCCCTCTCCTCTCTTCCTACCCATTTCTTGGTTTTGCGTCTTTTGCCTACCATTTCTCTTCACCATCACGTTCCCCTCTCTTCCATCATTCTCTACTTCTTCAATTTTTTTTGTCATCAAAACGGCTTCCATTAAAATTAGAGCAAAAACGTAAGACAAAATCCAGACAGATATTACAGATCCGATTGTAAGTCAGAGGAATAGACTTAGAGTCAGCCACCATACAAAGCAAACAGACTCGCTAGACTCAAAACGGGCAAGAGGAAGCCTAAAACTGTTTAAACAAGAAATAGTTTATCCTAGAACGGAGTAAAAAATGGGAATCAAGCAATATAGAATCAACTATGGAAGAATTGGTAAAGAAAGGAATTTGATATATGATGATCAAGAAGAAGGATCTTCACAATATGCTTTTGAATTACAATGTAGAGACTGAATGTATGTGTATTCGTAACTGAATGTGCTGATTACATAGAGCCTCTAGATATTTATAAGAGATACATTTAATGCACTTTTGTCCGTTGACGACATGATCCGACCGTTACGACGACATGTCCGACCGTTACGACGACATCAATATCGTCATTATTGCATCATCAATTCTGGCCAGCCCTTTGAGTAACCTATGTCATAATTACAATAACTACTCTAATTATATACATAAAACTGTCCAGATTTAATTAGCTAGCATTAATCCCAATGAATACGTCATTGATTGCCACGGTCAACCATTTTTGAATGTAGTCAAGGCCGCCCAACTCGTGTACCAACAATTGCCCCCTTTTCGAGAAGTTGAGGTGAATGATACTCACGTCCGTCGACTTGTTTCAGCAACAACTTGTCGAAAATTTGAAAGTACACTTCACATCTTGGTCCATTGCATCGTCACATATTGATCAACTTGTCTAACTTAAATGCTTTCCCTCCAGCATTGTGTTGACGGTTAGATGACAGAAATTTGTAACAGCATTACGTCGATGTCGACACCTCAGCTGGCAAAGGGAACATCATCCGTCGTTAAAGATGACGAGTTGTGTTGCGTGAACATAGTCCATAACCTGCAAAAACTTTGAATAACGTTTCATTTGTAATTTTATCAATATCGTCAACATGTGTTTATGATTTGTATCCATGTCGTTCGTAGTGTCTCCTTTTTGGAGCTAATGTTGTCACACTTCTGTTGCGTATTTTTGTAGTTTTGGATGTGGTTGTTGTTCCACATGACGATGTCATTTGTACGTGTACTGTTGTTGCTTTGTGTTTGTCTGACTTTGATGTTGTCAGCATTTGTGATGTATGATCTGTCTGTTGTTTTGGCCAAAACATTGTGGAGAATCGGTGGTGTTTATACTCATGTTTAGCGTACATGAAAACCCCACTTCTTCCCCTAAAATTCTGTAAGCCCCCCGTCAATTGTGTCTTGACGTGTTGTAAGGCTTTGTATGTTAGGATTCCGTCATCGTCAATTCTTGACTGTACCTGTGCAATAAATATTTCGCTAACGTCGGCCGTTGGCTAAAAGCCAACGGCCCTCCGATGCTTAAGTCAGTAATTGTGAATAGGTATGTATAAAAAATTAGTCCTCAACATTGCGAAACTACTTAGTCAAATTCACGTCATTTCAACTTAATGTTTCAAAAGTAATTTTGCACTTGTCAAAGTGAATAAATGAAGAAAATATTAAAGTGAGGGGTGAGTAAATTGCTGTTGCATACCCTGATAGTGTCCTGATCCTTTGCTTCATTATTTACTTTCCTGTTCTGATTAGGCGATCTCGGTGGACTTGAAGTTAAATGATGTCGTCGTCTAACTTTTAGTTTGATGTCGTCATTCACCACTCAGTTTCATGTTGTCTATCAGTAAATGGTTTGACGCCTTTAGTCTGCAACCTAATCAGACACGTAGCTGGGGCCTGGCCGTTGGCTTGAAGCCAACGGCCCTCCGATGCTAAAGTAAAATAGTCTAATACTTTTACATTGATTGTGGGTGTGTATTATCTCTAAGGAGTCAGATGTATTTTCATTTGTCAAGGCGGGTGAGTAGATTAAGATGACATTGAAATAAAATAAGAGCAATCTATTGTCGAGTACCTTAATTCAGCTGACTTAATGTCGTCATCAGAAGTCTATATGATATTGTCATATAGGATTTAGCTTGATGTTGTCAATCTGTGACTCAGTCAAATACTTTGTTGGCCGTTGGCTTGAGGCCAACGGCCCTCCGACGGTCAAGTTAGTAAGAGATTAAAAAAAAAACATAAGATGAATACTGAAGTAGATAATTATATTAGAAGTGGAAAGGCTTTAGGTGTACCGCATTCCAGCTCCTTAGAACTTGTTTACCGTCAATGCTTGTCAGACGGTATGCCCCCTGCCCGACGACATCTGTAATCTGGTATGGGCCTTCCCAGTTGGGACTGAATTTTCCACTTGCTTCGTTGCCAAAGGACTTTCTGAGTACCCAATCGCCTTTCTTGAATACTTTGGCTCGGACATCTTTGTTATAGCTTCTTGCTACCCTTTGTTGGTAGGCTGCCATTTGTACTTTAGCTCTTTCTCTCAATTCGTCGATAGTGTCAAGATCGTGAACCAATTCTGCGTTGTTTGCTTCTTCTGTGATAAGTCCGTACCTGGATGTTGGCACTTCGACTTCGACTGGAATGACAGCTTTGCATCCGTGCACCAACGAAAAAGGCGTTTGTCCTGTGGCATTTTTTGGTGTTGTCCGGTCTGCCCATAATATGAGTGGTAACTCGTCGGCCCACTTTCCTTGTGCTTTCTCCAACCGTTTCTTTAGATTCGAGATGATGATCTTGTTGCTTGACTCAGCTTGTCCATTTGATTGTGGATAGCGTGGTGTCGACATCTCTAGTTTGATGTTGTACTTCTCACAGAATCGTCTGGTTTTGATGCTGATGAACTGTGACCCATTGTCGCAGACGATC